ATAAATAAAAATACAAATGTAGTTGAAGAAATATCAGAGAAAGGTAAAAGCAAGGCATACAAACTTACAGCAACGTGCAGCAGCTTCCGGATGGCCTGGTTGTTTCCGGTTCCGCAGTAGGCCATCGCAAGTGTATACATGCCGCTTCTTCGGAGAATCGGGTCCTTGTCAGAGCAAAGGGAAGAGACCAAGGGATCAGCTTCTTCTAAGCGACCATACATAGTGAACGCGATGCCCACAGCTAATCCTCGAAGGATCTTTTCGTGTTGTGTTTCTTGAGCATACTGGAAAATGAAAAATACAGAATCTTAAAAATAGAGAAAAATGATCTTAAAAGTAATCTTGAAAATACAGAAAAATAATATTAAAAGTGACCTCAATAACTGAGAAAAAATAATCTTGAAAGTAATCTTAAAAATGCAGGAAAAGATAATCTTAAAAACAATCATAATAATTCAGAGAAAATAATCTTAATAATAATTTTGAAAATGCAGAAAAAGAAATTTAAAAATGCAGAAGAAATAATCTGAAAAATAAAATGAAAATACTAAAATAAAAATATTAAAATTAAAGTAAATTCAATAATTGAGAAAAAATAATCATAAAAGTAATCTCAATAATTCAAAAAAGTAATCTTAAAAGTAATCTAAATCATTCAGAAAAAGATAATCTTAAAAGCAATCCTAATAATTCAGAGAAAATAATCTTAATAACAATCTTGAAAATGCAGAAAAAGAATTTTAAAAATGCAGAAGAAATAATCTCAAAAATAAAAAGAAAATATTAAAATATCTGTTATTTACTTTTGTCATTTACATTTATATTTATAATTCACTCACAGACTAAGGTACTTAACTCCATTTTAAAAATTTTTTAAAATTTTAGCATCAAGATACTTGACTGATTTATTTATACTTAATTTTCTATATTTATAATAAATTTCTGTTTTTTGTTTTTTGGAATTATCTTGGAGATTATCTTGACAAACAAAATCATGTTTCTACATAAGATTATGTCTTATCATACTCTGTGATAAGATTTAAGAAAACTTTAAAATATTTCCAAAATTCATAAAATTACCATTTACATTGAACAATGTATGTATCATTTCCTGACAAAAATTTATAATAAATTATTCCTTTTCAAATCACTGATGAGTAGTTCTCAATTTTCAATTGTCACATTTATCTCATCAGGTTTTAACTGTATTACTTCTTTATTTACACTAAATTTATTGATATTCACATTTTTGTGTATTAATTTCGTCCACATTAATTTAATCTACATTTATTTCTACATTAGTTCATATATATGAAATTTATCTACATCAATTTCATCTAAAGTAATTTTATCCATATTCCTCTTGTTAATACTAGTTTTATCTGCATCAATTATCTTTATATTATTTTCATCTTCATTACTTATGTCTATATTATTATCACATTTTTGTGTATTAATTTCGTCCATATTAATTTAATCCACATTTATTTCTACAATGATTCATATGTACGAATTTTATCTACATCAATTTTATCTAAAATAATTTTATCTATATTCCTCATGTTAATACTATACTTCTGTTTATATTAACTTCGTCTCTATTACTTATGTATATGTTATTTCCACATTTTTGTGTATTAATTTCGTCCATATTAATTTAATCCACATTTATTTCTACATTGATTCATATGTACGAATTTTATCTACATCAATTTTATCTAAAGTAATTTTATCCATATTCCTCTTGTTAATACTATTTTTATCTGCATCAATTATCTTTATATTATTTTCATCTCCATTACTAATGCGTATACTATTTTATCCACATCAATCTCTTTTATACTAGTTTTATCCATATCAATTTGTTTTACATTATTTTTGTGTATATTAGCTTCGTGTCTAGGAGTTTCGTGTGTACACAATTACCCGAACAAAGACAAATAGCATGGTGAATTTACGAGTTATCCCAGTCGATGTAACTGCTTCAAAGACTTAGGTTAAATTGTCGCATATTTCGCGATTGCACTGCATGTCATATGTCCAATTAGTTTCGCATAATCAATGGCCGCGAGATTTATTCCCCAATAACTCCAAACAATCCAATAAATACCCTAACTAGCCTCGATTTATTATTGAAAACCTATATTTCCTCTGCACGCGTGTTTCCCATACACCAACCCCATTAATTCCAAATTAAAATTGCCGTTTCTCGACGTTGTGACAAACGAAATTGTTTCCTCTGATTGGTTCCGCGTGGAGTGCTTTAGACTGTTTTAACCCTTTCGGTACGAAGGAGTTGGCCGCGGTTATAAATTCGTGGTACGAGGAAATTTTCCACAAAAGCAGCGAGGTTGCACTGTAAGGCAGTGTCAGCCTCGAAAGCGCGACAGCCTAAACCAATCCTCGGCCAAAAGCCGATTTTGACAGAATTTTATCTCGCGAATCAAACGGAAAAGCGAACAAAACAGACTTGACGCTTAACGTTTTAAAATCACATTTATTTCTTCACAGTGTATTAATTAAAGTAAATGGCAATGATATAAATAATTTGTTGCAATATCACAAAATTAAAATAAATAATAAAATTAATAGTATAACATAATAAATAACAAAACTAATTGTTAAGCCTTGGAATGTCATGCCCCATACCAATAAATAGGTCTATTCAACTAACCTATGAACCTATAGAATTTTATAGGTTATTGAACAGATCAGACCACCGAACAGTCATCGCGATAAAACAACCCTTACCTGCTCTAGACCTTAACCCTTTCGGCACTACTGCTGCCACATGGCGGCATCCACGGAAAGCTCCGTGTGTACTACTGCCGTCTATCGGCGGCGTCCACGAAACGTTCTCTGGGTACTATCGCCGCACGGGCTAAAATCGGCAGTTATGGCAGGTTATGTGGATATGATTACTCTCTATAGTACGCATTACTTTACTGTCCTCTGTTTAATGTTCCGGCTACTCTAATTGTCGCGTCGCGATCGAAATTCTCGTATTTCCGACGGGTTGTAAGACCGTCCCGCGACTACGACACGTGTTGCCCGCCAAATTAATATTGGCAACTGTTTAAGTTGTACGAGCGGAAAAGAGTCGTGTCTACGACGTTCGACGTTTAGAAAAGAACGTGGCGTGTTGTTGATTTGAATCGGTTAGACGGAGTGTTTGAAGAGAACCGTGTCTCTGAGGACTCGAACCGAACTGTTTGATGTTTCGAGAAGAAGTGTCTTTTAGAGAACCCGTGTTTCTTGGATCTCGTACGGAACTGAGCTCCTCGATCTTCCTAAGATCGGCCTTAGGAGAAATCGGGAGTTCGGCAAATATGATTGGCTTCCAACGTGTGCGGACCACGTGGAGCCCTCAGGCCTATTGTCAGCCAAGTCTTAAGAGCCGTCGCCTAATTTCGTTAAATTAGGGATTTCCAGGATTCTCGTGTTCCGCGACACGAGAAGTCAAAGAAAAAAGGTAAAGCATTCAAACATGCTAAAGGCATGGAGCGGAAAATTCCGATGCCGAATTGTTCGACTCCAAGACCTGGCTGTTGGAAGACCGTAACGGGTCTTCCTTGTTCCACGACGGAACAAGCGTAGTGAAAACGAAGGAAATCTTCGTCACACGAGGGAACAACACGTGAAATTTATTTAAGGTAATGTGAAAAAGATGAAGTGCCGACTTGGTCAAGACTGAAACTCTCGTTTCGAGCAACCGTGTATTTAAATTGATTCTATGAATGAAAATGAAGTTTTAGAAGGAAGATGTACGGCGTGAATGTGTAGCACAGGCACGTTGGTAGTTTCAAAGTGCACTTCGGCGGAAAGGTGAGTGGATTAGCCATGGAGAACTAAAAAAGGACCAATGAGCACAAAGCGAAAAGTGAAAGAGCAAAGAGAGGTAAAAGCAAGGATATTTGGCAAGGAGAAAAACTCGAATGTTTTTAAAAATGAAAACACGTCCGAAAAAGGCAGCCATTTAGTCTTCTAGACTCGATTCAAACTTATTCAAAGAAAGAACCTCGTTATTAAAATATCTATGTTAAAAAATAATTAATACATGATTAATACAACAAAAATTTGTTGCCATAAAAGTGGAAGATTTTTAAAAATGAAAACACATCTGAAGAAATTAATGCAAAATGAAGGCATTTAATCTCCTAGACACGATTCAAATTTATTATAAAAAATATTGAAACTTGATACAACAAAGATGTACTATTAAAAAACTGGAATATTTTTAAAAATGAAAACACGTCTAAAAAGAAGCAGCCATTTAGTCTTCTGGATTCAATTGAAACATATTCAAAGAAAGAACCTTGTTATTAAAAAGTCCATCTTAAAAAATAATTAATACATAATTAATACAACAAAAATTTCTTGCCACAGAACTGGAAGATTTTTAAAAATGAAAACATATCTGAAGAAATTAATGCAAAATGAAGGCATTTAGTCTCCTAGACATGATTCAAATTTATTACAAAAATGAATTTATTACAAGAAATATTGAAACTTAATGCAACAAAGATTTATTATTAAAAAATTGGAAGGTCTTTAAAAATGAAAACTCATTTGGAGAAATTAATACAAACTGCAGCAATTTTAGTTTTCTAGACTCAATTTAGACCTATTATAAATGGGACCTAATTATTAGAATATATTCAAACTTAATGCAAAGAAAACTTATTATTAAAAATATTGGAAGGTTTGTAAAAGTGAAAATACATCTGAAGAAATTAATGCAAAATGAAGACGTTTAGTCTGCTAGACTCGATTCAAATTAATTACAAAAATGAATTTATTATAAGAAATATTGAGACCTAATGCAAGAAAGATTTATTATTAAAAAACTGGAAAGTTTTTAAAAATGAAAAACTTCTCAATGGAAAATTTGAAAATCTGGAAAAATTAATACAAAATGCAGCAATTTTAGTCTTCTAGACCCAATTCAGATCTATTATAAATGGGACCTAATTATTAGAATATATTTAAACTTAATGCAAAGAAAATTTATTATCAAAAAATAAATTAATTGATACAAAATGAAGAAATTTGTACTCAATTCAAATCTAATATTAATTATTACATTTCAATCTATTAATTGAGTCACTCAAGGTCTGATCCTTTTCTGAATATTTCTTAATTTTAACAGCAAAATACATAATTTATATTTAATTTTTGAAAAATCATGCATATCTATTATAAATAAAATTTAGAAACTAACAAATTTTATCATACTATAGATATTAAATGAACACCTCAACTTTGTGAAAATTCCCTAATTTTA